TGTGTGTGTGTGTGTGTGTGTGTGTGTGTGCGGCTAGAGTCTAGGTTGGACTGCTGGTCCTTTAGTCAATCTTAATAATTAGTGTACGAGCTGGCTAGTGTTTGGGCTTAACCGTCCTTTAGTGGGTATAGTAAAAAGGTAGTTGTGCTGGTGGCTGACAAGGAGCCACCCTTCAGTCTGCTACTTTTGAGCTAGACTGTGCTGACGGGTCTAAACTCTACCCCTTTAGTAGTCCACTAATTAGAGAGATTGGGGCTGATCAGTTTATCCAACGGGAGGACTCGAGAAGAGCTCGGACGACGAACTCGTCGCCTATATATATATATATACATAAAACTTTAATAAACCTTTGTGTCTACGTTGGGGCACTACCGACGTACGACATAAGGAACTAGCAGATTATGTAGCTTTTGGAATAATTCACAATTTTTTTAAAATTAAACACTATCTAAAGATTTGCATCGAAGCGTTTTTTTTTTATAGTGATTTTAAACACTATTAGATATTATTATACTTGATCCATCTATGCTACGTCACCACTGTGCCGCGACCTCCCTGTACTGAGTTTTGTTTATATTATTGTGTATTAATTTTGTGGGTTATGATAAACGGATCACTATATAACATTTAGAAATACTTACCTTCCAAATAAAATGAGATGAATACCAAAATAAAAAATATTGATATAATATATAATTTCTGAAACAAATTTTCTAATTTTAAAACAATATCAATAATTATGAAAATCAGATTAATCTCTATATTCACCGAACTAAAATGTTTTTTAAACATAATTTATAGTAATAAATTAGCAAAGATATACTTTAACAACTTCAGTAGAATTGATCATTTTTTAATAATCATTTTTAAAAGTAATTATTTATAATTTTACTACTAATTATCCTATCTATTAATTAAATATTAAGATAAGTAAAAAAAATTTACTTACCATTGTTGTCTATAGTGTCAAACAATTTTTTTATAAGACTTGATAAAAATTTTTTTGAAATAGATATTATAATGACTTGAAGTAATTATTAAACGTATCGGCAAACAAGAAATAATTCTAATAATAAACAAAATAAATATAGTATGATTGCAGAAAAAATATATGAAATATTGAAACACATTACATCATGCTTTTTTATCGTGAAATGTCATTTGTATTTTTAGCACTGTAAAAACACAAAAATTATATTTGGTTTTATTAACGGTAAATAACGAATTGTAAATACATATTTTACTAAAAAAGTATATTAAAATTTTATAAATACGTAATATATCAAAAAAATATATTTAATAATTATTTATTAAATTTTTAAAGATTTTTACCTCGTCAAAGATTCCGCAACCTAAGCGTCTTTAAGGGCGCAGTAGACACCATACTGGGGATGATGACCAGTGACGTCCAAAACGGAGGCAACTTCTCTCCGGAGCGCAAGGAGGTTTATAACCCCTTCCATGGAGTAGAAGGGGAAGAGGAGCGAGTATGCCTTATGAGTAAGTGCGTCTCCTCCCTTCGAGGCGAAAGCACGGCGGACCGTGCGATCCAAATTGCTCGGCTGGTCAGCCGGGAACTGTTGACGCGCCATAGGAAGGATCCGATGATGGAAGCAATGGGGATTGGACTCCGGGATGTCGTTGATGTGTTCGACTACGAATGCGTCGTCGCGGAAACGGCACCCGGAGTTGTGGAGGAATCGTCCGAAGGAGACAATAGTCTATCCGAGGACGAAACAATGAGGACAGGTGTTAGGCCTGGTGTGAGTGGTGTTGAGCCTTCTCTCGGGCAGGCGACGACCGCTCCTTTCCGTGAGGTCTCCCCGCCTTTGAGCCCCCTGCCGGAGGAGACGCCCCCAAAGCGTTACCCCGGGAAGAGGAAGGCGCCACTTTGTAACGAAGAGAGCGACGATGAAGCGACATTCGACATCGGATTGAATCATGTCGTCGGCCTGACCAGACAGGCCGAAGTGGAGGGTAGCCTCATGAAAGAGGTTCCAGGTACTCATCTGCAGTACTACTTACTGGAGCAGATAACTCTTTCCTGCCAAGCGCTGACCGAACTTCGAAGTTCGGACATGTCACGCCGTAAGAAGAGGCATGACTCCGAGGAAGAAGCAACCGCGCAATCGGCTTTGGTTGGAAACATAGCGGGACAAGTCGCAGCGCTCCGCGGAGTCATCGATAAGCGTAGAGGGATGGGCATCCACAAGGAAGTCCAGGAGGCGACCAAGAAGCTGGAGGAAATCCTGGCTACGGAAAAGCGCAGGAGACCGACACCGCGCTCGGGGACCATTGTAGCCTCGCCGGAAAGGGGTTCTGGTACGTTAGCTCCGGTATTCGCGAAACGGAAGCCGACAACGGACGCGGGAACTCAAACGGCGGTTGGACCGCAAACAAACAGGCCGGGGACGTCTGATATGGCGTTGAGGAGGAATGTGGCCACACAAACAACGGAGGAGCCCCCAAATGCCAGGTCTGATCCGTTGACGATGCCTGGGAAGAAGCGAAAGAAGAAGAAGAAGAAGAGACTGAACACTGTCGAGAGTACGGCCTCCTCGCCGACCGTTACGCTTCCCGAGAAGCATTCGGATCGGGGGACTGCTGCTGCAAAGTCCGCTCCGGCGAGTGTGGACACAGGAGCGGAGACGGAGAGGCCCACTTGGACGGAGGTGGTTCGTCGCAAGGGTGGACTGGGGAAGACCGAGGAAACGGCAACTAGGCCTAGACCTCCACCGCCTACACGAAAAAAGTTGCGGGCGAGGGTGCCTCGTACGGAGGCTGTGATTATCGGCCCTTTGAAGGGGAACTTGAAGTATGCCGAAGTGATGAAGACGGCGTCGCCCTCTGTGGACCTTGTGGCCTTGGGTATCCAGGTGTCTGGGACCCGGAGGATTCAGACGGGGGCCATTCTGCTGGAAGTTCGAGGAACCGCCGAGAAAGCGGATTTACTAGCCGCCAAGTTGGAGGAGGCGCTCAAAGAGAAGGATGTGCGGGTGCATCGCCCTTCGATGACCCGCACTGTCCTAATCAAGGATGTGGAGGACTGGCACGAAGATAACGAGGTGCGTCGGGCCCTAAGCGACGCTCTGGAATGTCCAAGTGTTGGGCCCGTTATCATACGGCCTAACATTGAAGGCAAGGGGCGTTACGCGAGATACGACGTGCCCGTCAAGGTTGCTATTCGGCTTACCACAGTGAGCCGAATAAAAGTCGGCTGGACAAACTGTAGACTGAGGATCATTGACAAAGGTCCTCAGTGCTACAGATGTCTGGAGTATGGGCACATTGCCCACAGCTGTAAGGGCCCGGACAGGTCAGGGAACTGTCACAGGTACAGAAAAGGTGGGCATATCGCTAAAGAGTGCCCTTCAAGGATGGATCCAACCCATCGCGAAGTCCTGCCCCCACCTCCGCGTGGTGCAGCCCGGGCAACGGACCCACCAGTGGGGTCCGGCTAACGGGGGAGGCAGCACCGCGCTATGATCCGGCCCCGGATTAAGTTCGGGCCGAAGCACAGCGCGGTGGCAGAAGTGTTAGAAAGCGACGTAGGCCGCTTCGAAGCAATGCTTAACGGCAGTCCCGGGGCGGTCTGCATGAAGTCGGCTGTAAGAAGAAAAAAAAAGAAAGATTCACAACGTGGTGTGGCCTCCCCCGTTCAATGCGAGAGGGGCAAAAATAACTCACACATAACATTAAACACAAAATACCTAAGGAGCCGGCCTGAACCAACATTTAGTCTCTTTCGGCCCTCCCAGATTGGGCATGAGTCCCGCCAGGCAATTCATGACTATCTGGGCCCGCACGAGTAATGTGCGGCCCGAACTTTAGACGTTTGTCTATGACAAGGCTCAGATAAGTCATGGAATCCTTAAGCGGGATCTCCACTCCCAGCCGTTGTCCAGCTATTGTTGTCCAGGCTACTTTTTTTTTCTCTCATTGATTTTACATCTGATTTTGTTCACCAGCGTTTGATTAAGTCTTTCATTTATTCCATTTGAGAAAGGTGCATTTATTGCAGTAAAACAATTGGTATTGATTTCTTTTTTAAAAATTTTTGAATTCATTTGAATTAATCCCAGGGTATTGATCAGTGAGAAGCATTCCAATTTTCTCTGTCTCTGCGTATATTTTATTTGAAAGTCATATTGTGACAGTTAGTAAGTCAAATCTCCAAGCTCTTCGTCAGGTCTAGATTTTATGTTCATATTTTCCAATGGTTTGTGATCCGAGTATACAGTAAATGATTTTCCTATTAGCCAATATTGCCAGTATCTTATTGCTTCCTTTATAGCTAAACCCTCCAAGCTTTTTTTCTTTTTTGGACTTCATTTAGTTTCTTTGAAAAGTATGCCACTGGTTTTTCTTTCCCATTTGGTTGCATTTGTTTTAATATTGCTCCAATACCTTCCAAAGATGCATCTGTGTAAAAATTAATTGGCAATTCTTGATCAAAAATTTCTAGAACTGGTTGTGAGCACAGCAAATTTTTTATATAGTCAAATGTTTTTTGACACTCTACAGACCAGATAAATCTTTGATTTTTCCTAAGTAAATTATGCAGTGGCTCTAGGATTATTGCACTATTTTGTGCATAATCATGGTAAAAATTTATCTTTCCCAGAAATTGCCTTATATTCTTTTGAGTTTTTGGATCAGGAAAATTTTTTATTGAAATTAAATTATCTTTTATAGGTTTGATACAATTATTGTTTATTATGTGACCAAGATATTTCACTGAGTTTTTTGCAAATGTGCATTTTTTGAACTTTAACCTGAAGCCTTCTTTTTTTATTGCCTCTAACAACTATGTTATATGATCCATGTGTTCAGAAAAAGATTTAGAAAATATAAGAATATCGTCTATATAGTTTACAGCAAAATCTGTAAGTTTATAATTCCTTAATATGTCACTTAGTTTTCTCTGAAAAATTGAAGGTGAGGTTTTTAGGCCGAAAGGTAAGCAGGTCCACTGAAAATGTCCCTCCTGTCTGACAAAAGCAGTCTTCTTCCTATCTTCAATTCGCAGAGGGATTGACCAAAAAGCAGTATTTATATCCAATGTGGAGAATAATTTACAATTTCTTGTCTTTATCATTAAGTCATCAATCAGTGGGAATGGTTGAGCTTGAGGTATAACTATTTTTTTCAAGTCCCTGAAATCTATACATAGCCTGGATCTTTTGTTATCTTCTTTTTTAAATGCTATGTTTAAATGGTAAGTTTATTATCTAATAATTTTGATATTTGTTCTTCTATCTCCTTTTTATCTTCTACCGTGCATCTATAAGGCCTTTTACTACAATATTTGTCGACTAATAAGTCAATATATGCCTCATATTTTTTCACTGTACCAATATCATATTTGTCCTTTGCAAAAATTGATTTATATTTGTCAATCGGTTTATTTATTTCAGATTTTTGATTTTTTGTTAAGTGATCTATATTTATTTGAAAATCCTTTTCTTTTATGTATTCATTAAAATTAATTTTGTAGTTTTCTTGATTATTTTTCATTTCATTGTTGGTAGAATCTTTTTCTATATTATTATCATTTTTTTGAGTTATTATTAAATTTTCATTTTGAATAAGTTTGAAATTTTTTATCATATCTAATCCAATAAAAAAATCATATTTAAAGTTTTCTTCATCTATGATGAAAACATCAACTTTTTTTTCTATTTCAAAAATTTTAATTTTTATAGTTATCAAACCACTTGTTTTTTTGACACCATTAATCGTTGTTATATTTTCATTTTTTGTATTAATAATTTTTTTATTTTTTATTTTTATTAATTTAGAATTTATTAAAGAAACGTTTGATCCTGAGTCATATATTCCCAATATTTCCAATTTATTATCTAAAAGTATTTTTGTTTTGATTAATGGTGTAACAATTAGTTTTTTTGGTCCGTTTCATTTAGTTCAACTTCCACTACTTCATTGTTTACATGTTTGATGTAGTTGTTTTTTCCTCTATCATTTTCTTTTGTTTTAAACCAACAAACTGTTTCAGCATGGTAACGAGTGCCTTTATTTAATCTTTCACAATTTTTACATGATTTTTTTCCTCATGTCCTTCTTTATTATTTATATTTATAATATTTTTTTTTTCTCAAAAATACTTTTTCTATTTACTAAATGCTCATATTTGGTGATTTCATTAAGGAGATCCACTGTGTTTTTTAATATCTCCCTATCAATTTCATTAAGAATAAAACCTGGAAACCCAGCTGCAATAATATCAATCAAGGTAACTGAATCAATCGATCTTCTCATGTACAATAAAAGTTTCTCTTTTTTTATCGCATAGTCAAACAATGAACCGTCTTTATATTTGTATACTAACGCATATGTGATTGGGTTCCACCCTTTGTTTTTAAATGTGTCACAAAAATATTCTTTCCATATTTTCCAATCAGAGTCTCTGGTCAGTTTTATAAGCATAGAGCTGTACCAATCAGAGCAAGATTTATCCAAAAACAATCTGAGAATTTCAATTTTTTGCTCATCTTTCATTACATCATAACGGGTACATTCCATTTCAAAAATGTCTATCCATTGATTTACATTTGTATTCTTGCTCGTGAATTTTTCAAGTAAAAACTGTTCTGATATTTTTTTCAAGTTTTGATTTCTTGTCATCCGAGTGTTTTCCATACATTTTTCTATAAGTTTTAAAGTGTTCTGATTTAAATCATTAAAAGTCTTTTTTTCATCCGAAATACTATTAGCAGCTGGTTTATCTGTTATTTCTTCTAAATATTGGTTTTCAAATATCATATTTCCATAATCATCAATGTTAACTTTTTTTAGTTCCTCCGTCAGACCAATCCAAATTTTTCTAAATTGGTGTCTTTTTTTTAAGGTGGTTTTTACTAAAGTAGACGGATGTATTACATACCTCTTTATGAAGATTTATTTGCTGTAATTCTTCTGGTATTGCAAAAGTTTGGTTTTTTTCATTGGTAAATGAAGTTATAGCCATTATATTAGATTTTCCATCACTCGATGGTTTTATCACAAATTCAAATTGTAATTTTGTCATTTTTCATAAAAAAATCTTGTCGTTTTATAAGAACAATTATACTTGTATAAAACAATTCCTTTTTATTTTCCAATAATAAAACAATTTTGTGTTGCTAAAATAATATATAGAAACGACAATAAAAGTTTTTTATTTACATTTTATTATTCCAAGTTAATTAATTATATTAAATTAACGTGTTCTAAATAATTATTTTTTATCATTGATATTTGTTATCATTTCTTTGATCATTTTCATTTCTTATCAAATTATTATTTATAATCAAAAATCACTAAAGAAATCTAATAATTTCTTTACATATATATGATATTTAGTACATGTGTTACTAACTATACTACAATTTGGTTCACTTTTTATAATCAAATGTTAACGACTAAATAATTTGAATCATTCCGTATAATCAAATTTTAATGAATAAATCATTTAGAATACTCTGTATAATCAAATTTTTATGACTAAATCATTTGGATCACTCTATATATTCAATTTTGTAAAAGTTATAAATTTGAAGCGTTTTGTATATTAAAATTAAAAAAAAAAATTAAGTGGTTCATTTATTGCTTCACTTATTGATTTAAAATAAATAAAAACACTAATTTATATAACAGAAAAAATGTAGACGGTTTATTGTTAAACATTAAGAAAATTTATAAAAAAAATTATATTAATGCACTACGTGTACTTTACTACTTAACCGATTAACTGACGACTGGCTAACTAACTGATTGACGTTATTGTTACGTCGCGCCGTTTTATATTATGTTGACTTCTAGAATACTCTCTTACGGAGCGATCGAGAACATTCGCGCGTATATGCATTTTGTATTGCCTATCCTTCGCGAAGATTCTCGATTATTCCATAGTCACTACAGTTCACTCTATATAAGTNTGCCTATCCTTCGCGAAGATTCTCGATTATTCCATAGTCACTACAGTTCACTCTATAAAATAAAAATTATATCATTTATACATTTGGATCATTCTTTATATTTCTCTACCTCTTCTTCCTTCAACATTGATTTCTATAACTATTCTTATAGCTTTCAATTCCTCTCTCCTCATAACATAACAAAGGACTAGTTCTATTTTCTCTCATCTTATCCACAATTAACGCTACATCTATACTCACTTTTACATATTTGTTCTGTAACCTATCTTCTCTTGCTATTCCAATCATTCTTTACTCAACTTTCTTGTCAACCGTTCATCAATATGAACCATACATCATAGCTGGTATCACTACAGTCTTATAAAATTTACCTTTCAGGCTCCTTGGAATTCTTTTATCGATTAACACAATAGATAATTCTCTCCACTTCAACTCTAACATCCTCGTCCATACCACCGATCTTTTGCACAACTAATACTAGAAATTAAAAACTTACCGCCTCTCCTATCACATCCTCACCTATTGTCACTGTTCTCCTCATTTCACTTACATCGTGTTCTCCTGTATCAAACTCGTACTCTATATTCTTTCTCTAATATATTTTATTAAAACTATTTTGTCAACTAACAACATACACTATGGTACCTCTTCTTGTATTTTTCTAGTAATTTCATACATCGCTGTAGAAAATAAGTAAGGGCTTAAAAAAGAAACTTGGTCCCCTCCTAATCTTACCCTAAAATCTTCTATTACTCCAACCACACTTTTTACTCTTGCATAAGTGCCGTCATACATATCCTTTATTATATTAAGTACCTATTTTTATAGTATTATTAGTACCTTTTTGAAAATTTTTTCTCATTAATGCATATTTTAAAAACTCTCTCGGTACTTTATCATACTCTTTTTCCAAATCTATAAATACCATACACAGCTTTTTCTTCTTTTATCTATACTTTCCTGTTAGTTTTCTTACACAAAAAAATGATTCTAACTTTCTAGTAAAAAACAAAACTATTTCTTTGTTACTGATGTCCCCCTTTGTAGATCACTGTACTTTTTCATATTTATAAAAAGTTTTGCATGTGTGTGTTTGCTATAAAAATACACTACTTTATAATTTCTCCATAAAAATATAATATTAAATTATTGATTATCAATTTCATACAAAATTTAATTAAATAAAATTAAAACTATATTAAAAATATTATTAATTTAATTTAATTGATTAGTCACAAGTGATCAATTTTCATTATAAATTTAATTACTATAATTAGCATTTATCTATAAATATGCTTTATTTCTGTGTATACATTAAAGGTTTTAAGTAGGTAATATTCATAAATCTCGTTTATCAATTTATTTTAAAATAACCATGTCTATAAAATTAATGCGAACTTGTATTTTTACTTTTATGATAAAAGTTTACTATAATATACACATATAATGTGTACAGATTAATATGAAAAATTCGTAGTTATCTTTATATTTTGTAATTAATATTTATTTTATAATAACACATAATGATATATATTAACAAATATTAACATATTTGGATACATAAATTTAAGAGTGTAACAATTAACAATGAAAAATTAAAATACGTTTTTTATGTTAGTGATTTTAATCATTTTCAGATATAATCTATATTGTCTCAACTGTGCCACAATGTGTTAAATTTGCACAAATGTTTTATATCATTTACTTTATACTTTTATGATCAACTTTCATGATTTTAAAATAAACTGACCAAATATATATAAATACGGTAAATGATTTAACACGTTTGTGATATCACTAAAAAGTCAGCTTCATTTACTAAATATTTTTATATATCATATTAACATTTCGGTTTTTGTAATGTATTTAATAATTTATACTTTTATTTTATTCATTAAAACATGTTATTTACTGGATATGAAAAATCTTACCTATAATGAAGTAAATAAGTACAGGGAAATTAATTCAAGTCTGATGGACTTGATAATATTAGAAAATACAATTTACACTGATCCAGAAACTGTTCAAGTAATTGATGAAAATTTACATTACAATAATGACGATATCGATGTTGTAAACAAAAGTAAACCTTACAGAGCAACTGCTCCTGTGAGATATTATCTTACTGAAGTCATTGGGAAATCTCTAGGTGCGGTTTTGAATGAAACTATTGACGAGAAAAAGAATCTCTTTGAGGGTATGGTATGGATTAGAAATGTTATTGAAAGTATAGGAATCTCAACTATGTATCGTTTTTGTGAGATTACATCGAAATTGGCGCCACGGAAAAAATTGCGTCGTACTACTATTTTTCAAGAAAGTCTACATTTTCTCATTTTTTTAAAAAAACATTTTTCGAAATATAAATTACGATCTGAACCAATTGATGAATTATTATCATACGTTTATGATGTCTGCAAAAAAGTAAATGATAATTATGCTGAAGAAAAACAGTATATTGAATCATGTGGTAATTTTATGAGTCGTTACGGCAATTGTACAAATTTGGTGTCTTTAAATAATTGGAAATCTATTGATAACCTCAAATCAGACAAAGATTTAGAATCTGAATTAGATTTCACACTAACTTTAACACTTTTACGACTATGTAACTATACACAAGAATTTGTTCTATTTATTTTAAATTCTTTAGATTAAAAAATGTTGTGTTCTGTAACAATGAATTTTTTATTATCACAAATTTTAGCTTCGATGCGAAGCTGTTAGTTTTACCATGATGTTTTTTTTTTTTTTTTGATGTCTGTTGCCATTTTTTCTCAGCTCTCACTGGACCGATTTCTTTCAATAATACGTCAAAAGATCACAAATCGTATCTAGTTGAAGACATTACCCTTAAAAATGGAAAAATTTTCCCTCGTTCCCCGTAAATAGGGGAAATATCTAAATAAATTACAAATTTAAAAATCGGTAAATTTTGTCATTTTTTTCCCTTTTTTTTCTTAAAACTTCTATAACATTTTTAAAAATTAACAAATCAATATAATTTTTGAAAATATTCCGTAAATACTGCGTCCTTTAAACATATACGTAGTTAAAATTTTCGATTTTAAATTTTCAACTTAAAAATGCTAATACTTATCAAAAAATGTATGTATCAGCACAAATTTTTTTTTCCTAAATACATTATAAGTACATCTTTAAGTTGACATACTTTTTATTAAAATTGGGATTACAAATACAGGTAGCTAATTGATTTTTTATGACATCGATATTAGCAGGTACACAGCATTGTTATTATCAATGATAGTAAGGTACATTGTTGTGAGTTTATAAATACACTAACTGACAATACAAAAAGTATATCTATTGATAGTCCTAATTGATAATAAACAATCCGTGACTGTGATAGCAATATCATAAAAAACCAATTAGCTACCTGTATTTGTAATCCCTTTTATATTATACCTATATATTAACTCAAAAATTTGAAACTTTAAATGTTTATACCTAATAAACAATTTAAGTTTTATTAAAAATTCAAATGCCATTTATTATTGAATTAAAAACTCAAAAATTTTATTAAATTTAACACGGCCGCCGGGGATTGACGGCCGGTTATAGAAAGTGTACCGGAAATCATGTGAAAAAAAGAGGCACGGTACGGGATTAGAACCCGCGACCCAAGGCGTCGTATAGACAAACCTTACCACTAGACCACTGTGCACTTATCATTCAGATTCCGATACACTTTCATTTAGGTTGATAACGTGATGTGCGGCTGAGGGAAACACGGTACCGTGTCAAATTAAAAATATGTGTTACCATTTAAAGAAACTAAGTTGACACCCTTACCAGGCATAAGGGATGAACTTAAAAAGTATTACATAGTTAATAATTCAAGAATAATGTGTAACTAAAGATAATAATAAAAAAAAATTTTTAAATTATTTTTATTCTGTAAGTAATTGAGTGGGTTATGATAAAAAAATCACCCTGTATATCTTAAATTAAAGCTAATGTAATATACTTTAATTTAAAAAAAAAAAATTTGACCTATGGATTTGTCTTCATGGTGCAAATGACTACCGTATGCAATAATATGCTATTTTTTTGAAAAAATTCTTGATATTATATTTTACATTTTTTTAAATTATTTAAACTTTTTAAAAAATGGATGAATCAATTCTATTTTTTAATAATAAATACTTTATATATACTTCTTTCATTCGACATACTTTTTTTTTAAATCGGACATTTCCCCTTTATACAGGGGTGGTGCAAACCTTTTAAAGTGCGTATAGA